TTCAACAGCGACTTTTCTTCTGCCGACAGTCTCCTCGGTTCCCACGTCCTCCGCCTTCTCCCTTATGCCGGCCACCCTTTGCATGCCTGATCCACCGACCTGACCTGACCTCCCTTCGCTTCCGTTCGTCTGTCCTCTCCTGCTACCTCGGTTACCGCGTTGCCTCTCCTCTCTCTTTTATGTCCCCTCCTCACCCTTTCCTCCTCAGACCTGAAGATGGAATCCAGCAGGATTCTGAAACTTCAATAAATCTACATTGTGCATTTGTTCTTATCATAGTATCAATACGGTATATATATATATATATATATATATATATATATATATATATATATATATATATATATATATATATATACACACATATATATATGTGTGTGTGTGTGTGTGTGTGTGCGGATCCCGGTGCTCTCTGGTCTAATACTAATTCAAGTAACAGAACTAACGATAAGTTTGCACTAAAGCAGAACTTAGTGAAAGTAACGATAATTCAGTGTTAAATTGTCGTTGTTGGAAATAACGTGATATCAACGCATACAATAGAGATCAAGAAGGTAAATCGGTAGATGACAGTAACGGGGGAAAATAGCGTTGAAGTCACACAAAAGCAGACTTTGGTGAAGATAACGATAAACACGCCTTTAAAAAACAGTTGGTGAAACCCATGTCAGCGCAGAGGTAGAAAGCTTAGTGAAAATACCAAAATATCACTGCTAAAAAGTTTTGTTAAAAAAAAAGATCAAGACTGATGAAGGTAGCAATGACGCAGTATTAAAAAAAAAGACAGTTGGTGAAAATAAGAAGTCAACGTAGAGGCAGAACTTTGGTGAAGATAAAGGCAAATCAGCGTTGCAAATCTAAGTTGCCGGAAGTGGTCAGTCAGTTCAACAATACCCGCAGGTCAGAACCTTTATTGCATCTTGCCGAGAGCCGCTGTTCACCGGAAACCGGAGAACTCGGCGAAAGGTTCGAATGTTCAGGCGGCCGCAGCGGGGACGAAGACGAGCCAATTGTTTATTGCATTTGCGGATCGGGAGCAGCGGGGGGGGGGGGGGGGGGGGAGTGTCAAGCGGGAATCTAAATTCGTTTGTCGGGCTGAAAGGCGGAAATTATTGGTTAGGTCTGGCTGTCTTGCCTTTGCGCTGGATATTTAAGCGAATGAAGGTGTACGGACGATGGAAGTTTGTTTACGGAAAGTGGTTACATTTTGAATTCGAGTGATAAAGCTACCGAGTTGATTACTATATCCAAGTGTCAAGCGAGAATCTAATTTTGTTTGTCGGACTGAAAGGAGAAAATTATTGGTTTAACTTCGGCTGCCATTCCGTCTCGCTGGATAAATAGTCAACTGCATAAACGGACAATGAAAATTCGTTTTGCTTGTGAAAGATATGTCAGAGAAAATGTTTTTCTTGTTAATTAAGAAATTAGTGGCCATCTTTTCTTGGCTTCCCTCCTCGCAGAATATCTAATCGATCTGTGCAAGGTCTCTCTTGAGCGGAATTTGCATTTCGATCGAGACGAAAGCAGCCGACGCGATTCTTCTGTGTCAAGCGAGAGTCTAAATTCGCTGTCGTGTTGAAAAGCGAAAATTATCGGTTAGTTTTGCCTGCTTTTCCTTTTCGTTGGACGTTTAATCGAGTTTTTACTTTAATTAGTTAACGAAAGGTGTTATTTACATCATGATTACAAATTGCAAAGTTACCGAGACGATTAACATACACAAGTGTCAAGCGAGAATCTTAAGTCGGGTTGAAAAGCGAAAATTATCGGTCAGTTTTGCTCGTCTTTCGTTTTCGTTGGGCGTTTAATCGATTTTTTTTACCTTGATTTTCATTTGTTTATGTAAGTTGCTATTTACATTATGATTACGAATTAAAAAAAAAGTTGTCGCGACGATTAACAAACACGAAGGTTAAGCGAGGATAAAAAATTGTCGATTTGAAAAGCGAAAAATTATGGACCTAACTTTGTATGTCGGATATTCAGTCGAATTCTCTCTCTCTCTCTCTCTCTCTCTCTCTCTCTCTCTCTCTCTCTCTCTCTCTCTCTCTCTCTCTCTCTCTCTCTCTCTCTCTCTCTCTATCTATCTATCAATATATAGAGAGGATATTTCGTTTATGAAAGGTGTTATTTACATTTTGATAGCGAAAGGTTAAAAAATACCGAGACAATAACATTATCCAAGTCAAACGAGTCTAAAATCGATGTCTTGTTAACTAAGACATTATTGGACATCTCTTCTTGCCTTTATATCTCACTGAATATTTATTCGATTTCAACAAAACTCTCTCCTGAACGGCATTTACATTTTGGTTGAGATTAAAAGCAGCTGACACGATTCATGTGCGTGTCAAATGAAAATCTAATTTGGCGGTTGTGTTGGGGAGAAAATTATTGATAAGTTTTTCGTCTTTGCTTTTGGATATTTGATTAATGACGGTGTGGGGGTGTATAGGGAAATATGTGATTTTGATATTAACTGCGATTACAGATATCCACTAGTCTATTTTGTAGCGAATTTCTATCTATTTATCTATCTATCTATCTATCAATCGATCTATATATCTATATCTATCTATCTATATATGTGTATATATATTTAGGCCTGCCTGCCTTCCATTTGTATATAATTATATCTATTTACACACACACACACACACACACACACATATGTGTGTGTGTGTGTGTGTGTGTATAGATATACATACACACATACATACATACATACATACATACATGCATATATATATATATACATATATATATATATATATATATATATATATATATATATATATATATAGAGAGAGAGAGAGAGAGAGAGAGAGAGAGAGAGAGAGAGAGAGAGAGAGAGTAAGGAAAGAGATAAATATATATATATATATATATATATATATATATATATATATATATATATATATATATATATACATATATACAGAGAGAGAGAGAGTAAGGAAAGAGATAGATAGATAGATAGATAGATAGATAGATAGATAGATAGATAGGTAGAGAGAGAGAGGCAGAATAGAGACAGAGATAGAGACAGAGATAGAGACAAAGAGAGAAACAAAGATAAAGCAGCAGAGACAGACAGAGACAGCAACGCAGGCAAGGAGACTGATACACAGATGTACGAGAGAGCAGAGAGAGAGAGATATGGATTCACCGTGTTTGTCTTGCAACACTAGACAAATAGTGGCAAGTTTGCTTCCCACGCC